TTCCCAGCGCCATGCCCCCCACCCCTCTCTCTCAATCTGGGAGATTTATGGGTCTCTGTTTTAATTTTCACAGGTGTTGGAAGAATGAAAAATCAGTCACTCCAGTGGAAGTTCTAAGGAACTCCTTTCACTGGTCAGGGGTCTTAGAGAAGGTGGGGGTTCCTCCCAGATTAAAAGTCCCCTTCTTCCACACCCCTTGGGACTCCATGTTTGGATCCCCTTCCACGAACACTCTCTGTCTCTCTCGTGGAAGTTTTGTCTGTTCTTCTCCTTTTTTCTCTTTACCTAAAATAAATCACTCTCTGCAAACTTTTGAGTCCAGTATTTACAAGCACACCTGGTCCCCTCTCTTATTCTTGAGAGAGCGGAGACCAAGAACTTCCGACATTCTCTTGGGGGAGCTGTGCACCCCATAACCCAGTTATAGTACTAGCAATGATGAAGTAAGTGGGTGGGAAATAAGAGGACTTGAGGGTGAGGCATTGAGTTGAAAACAAAACAATGGATTTTGTTTGATCAAACTTAGTGGGGCTTAGGCTGGGCAGTAATGCACATGGATCTGGTGCCATTTTGAAGGACATTGTTGAAGGCAAGGGAAAGCTTCCCCTTCACCATCTGAAGGTTTGCTGAAAATATTTGACAAGAGACCGATTAATAGGAAAAAGGGCATTCAAATTTATTTGATCATAGTTTTTCATGACACAGGAGCTTTCAGAATGAAGGCCCCCCGACCTTGAGGTTACAGAAAGAATATGGATTCAGAGCACAGCCAAAAACAGGCTATGGTGGTAAACCATGCTTTAGTGGCAAGACAGTTATGAGAGAGACAGAACAGGAGGGCTGCCTCGCAAGGTGGCCTCGCTGTATAGATGAAAACTCGTGGGTAGCAGACCAAATAGATGACAAATTCTTTCACCTCTAAAGGTGTCAGACTCTTAGTTAATCTTCCCTAGGTCTGACAAGGGAATTCTGGCTGCACAAATGTAGATTCTCTACAGATGGAAATTTCCTCTACAGAAGACGGCTTTGCAGGGCCAATTCTGTTTGATGGCCCTCCGGCCGTCATCTCAAAATATATCAAAGAAATATATTTTGGGGTAAAATATCTTGATTTCCTTCTACATCAAGGCTGGAAGTTGCTGAAGAAGGGAAAAAGATATTGGTAGCTCTTGCAGTAATCTAAGCAAAAATTGAGGCATTGGAGAGGAAAGAGTTATTTAGGGGTAAGAATCAACACAGCTTGATTAAGTTTAGGGGTAAAGGAGTGATTGGGTGACTGAGTGGATAATGGTAACAATCAAAATAGTATCTCAAATTCTACAAGATTCCTTTTGAGCTAGAGTTTGCTCAGACTACCTTCAAAGCAGCATCTGTTGAAGTCTGACAGCCCAGAAAAACAATAGCTAACTCATGCATGGCTAAATAGCTCTTAGAATCATAGTGAGTCGTTGTTTTGGTATCCTCACAAAGACCTCATAAAGTAGGCGGGACCATATTCCCATTTTACAGATGAGGCAATCAGTTCAGGAAATGAGAACAGAGAGGTGAACTGACTTAACCAAGGTGATACAGCCAGTAAGTGGTGGAGCCTGGTTCAAACACAGGCAGTCAGTTTCTATACCGCCTTGTTCGAAGCCTGGGGATGAAGGTGGAGTGCTCTCTTGGGATTGGGGCTGGGGGATGCAGCACTTTACACAGGCAAGCTTTCCTATAAATTCCCTTTAAACATCTCTCTTCCTTCCCAAAGTTTACACTCACCCTGGCTGCTAAGTGTTCCTTACTCCTCAGGGCTACTGCAGGGCTGTTCTTGAGAGCTTCCTCCTTCTGCCTGCCAGTTTCTGTTCCCCTTAGCTCTGAGAAATGTGGCCGCCCTGGCCTAGCACCCTTCTGGGAGAAGTGGAGTCCCCTACAGATCTTTCTGTTTGTTTGGGTTTTTTGTTTTGTTTTGTTTTCTGGAGAAGATCAAGCCTGACTTTCAATTCAGGGAAAGGTTGGAGAAGAACCAAGGTCTGGGAATGTGAAGGAGCTGAGATAGTGGATTTGATTTGGCACTTGTTTTGTTTGTGGTGTCTCAGGGATATTCAACTGAAGATGAGAAGAGAAACCACAGGGAGAGGAAGACAGAAGAGGTTTGAAATTCTTTTGAATGACTTACCAAATATTTGGTTTCAGACATTTCGCAGGAGTATTCAAACAGCATGTCCCTGTGTGTTGGAAAGCAGCCCCTGTACGTGGCTATTTTTTCTAAATAACCTTGAAAAGGAAACTATACCAATCATGCATCACTGACCACGATTTTGTCTTTTTTTTTAGATAGGATGTGTTCTAAAAATAATTTATGATTTGCATTCTGAAACTTGCATCTAGTCAAATTTAAAGACCCATGTAGGACCAAATATCACAAAAGTACAAAAAATTGATATGATTATGTGTTTAAATGTTGTAAATTTTAAGTCTTCATGATTATGAAAAGCTTTCATGTCGACCATAGCAATCATAAAATACAGAATTAAAAAATTCCTCTTACCATCACATGTACGCACCATTAACATTTTGGATATATTCTCTTCCAGACTTCCTGCAATCTCTTTCTTTCTTTTTGATTACTACATTTCTTTATATTTTTATTATTACAATTATTGCTAGTTTTCTATTTCAAACATAGCTATTTCTTCTACATAATGCATATTCCACTATTTTAGAAAAGAACTTAGTTTAAACATTTATAAAAATCACACATTCTTGTTGTCCAAAAAGAAGTCTTGCAGTGAAAATTCACATAGGGTCAAAATGATATGTTTCCTTGGTCCCATTCCCCAAGGTAATTTCAAGCAACAGTTTAATGAAGTCCACAAGTTTTTCCAAAAGCAGAGAAATTCTTAAGGTAATTTTTTTCTCCTCATGCTTATAATCTATATTAATGTCAATATATTTTTTTTAGTGTTTTCATCTAGTGTTTTTTTGCCTAATGCTGTTTCAGACAACTTTTTTATGTCGATCTAAGAGGAAGAGGCCTAAGCACAAAATAAGATTTTAAAAGTTTACTTGAGCCAAAGTGGGAAGAGCTGCCTGAGAGAATCAGACCCAAGTAGCCTTGGTTATGAACACCATTTGGCCTGTATTATAAGCAGATTTTTTTTAAGGCAAAAAATGCAACAGGGGTTACGAATACAAAGTTGTCAATAATTCTTATTGGTTTGTAGAAACAACATTTATCAGTGATTGGCTATACATAGTTAAGACATAGGGTGTGGATATAGTGTCAGGTTAAGCATTAATAGGTTAATTTATTTGTGGCATTAGCAAGCAATTCAAGGGATGAATCTATAGCTCAAAGTGGGGAGTGGGACCTATGGCTGTCTCATTTTAATGTCTCTCTAGGCCTGATAATTTAAAAGTCTCACACTCCTCAGATGAAAGTTATTTTATCATTTATGTAATGTGTTAATAATTATGTGTAGTGAAATGTTGCTAAAACACTGCAACGTGGTTGGCCTTGCTTCGAATGAGCTGGAAGAAGATTTTCTATCAGTGTCTTTGGAATGCACTGATTTCTTGAATAATCAGAGACTAATTTTGTTGCTTCTTTACCTTTTTTTTTTTTTGAGACAGAGTCTCACTCTCTCGCCAGGCTGGAGTGCAGTGGTGCGATATTGGCCCACTGCAACCTCCACCTCCTGGGTTCAAGCAATTCTCCTGCCTCAGCCTCCTGAGTAGCTGAGACTATAGGTGCATGCCACCATGCCCAGCTAAGTTTTGTATTTTTATTAGAGACAGACTTTCACCATGTTGGCCAGGATGGTCTCAATCTCTTGACCTTGTGATCCGCCCACCTTGGCCTCCCAAAGTGTTGGGATTACAGGTGTGAGCCACCGTGCCCAGGGTCTTTACCTTTTTAAAAAATAAACACACTTTTTGTTTTGAAATAATTTTTAAAAGTTGCAAAGATAGTACATAGAGTTCCTATATACACTTCACCCAAGCTCCCCCTAATGTTAATCTCTTACATCATCATGGTACATTTGTCAAAGCTAAGACATTGACATTGTGGGGAAAGAATTCCCTGTTTAATGGGGAAAGGTCCCTGTTTAATAAATGGTGTTGGGAAAACTGGCTAGCCATGTGCAGAAAGCAGAAACTGGATCCCTTCCTGACACCTTACACTAAAATTAACTCCAGATGGATTAAAGACTTAAACATAAGACCTGACACCATAAAAACCCTAGAAGAAAACCTAGGAAAAACCATTCACGACATAGGCATAGGCAAGGACTTCATGACTAAAACACCAAAAGCATTGGCAACAAAGCCAAAATAGACAAATGGGATCTAATTAAACTCCAGAGCTTCTGCACAGCCAAAGAAACAAGCATTAGAGGGAACCAGCAATCAACAGGATGGGAAAAAAATTTTTGCAATATACCCATCTGACAAAGGACTTATATACAAAATCTACAAAGAAGTAAAACAAATTTACAAGAAAAAAACCCATTCAAAAGTGGGCAAAAGATATAAACAGACACTTTTCAAAAGAAGACATATATGAGGCCAAAAAACATGAGAAAATGCTCATTATCACTGGTCATCAGAGAAATGCAAATCAAAATTACATTGAGATACCATCTCACGCCAGTTAGAATGGCGATTATTAAAAAATCTAGAGATAACAGATGCTGGAGAGGATGTGGAGGAATAGGAAGACTTTTACACTGTTGGTGGGAGTGTAAGTTAGTTCAACCATTGTGGAAGACAGTGTGGCGATTCCTCAAGGACCTAGAAATAGAAATTCCATTAGACCCAGCAATATATATCCGAAGGATTATAAATCTTTTTATTGTAAAGACACACGCACACGTATGTTCATTGTAGCACTGTTTACAATATCAAAGACTTGGAACCAACCCAAATGCCCATCGATGATAGACTGGACAGGGAAAATGTGGCAAATATACACCATGGAATACTATGCAGCCATAAAATACTATTCGTGTCCTTTGTAGAGACATGGATGAACCTGGAAACCATCATTCTCAGCAAACTGACACAAGAACAGAAAATCAAACACCACATGTTCTCACTCATAGGTGGGTGTTGAACAATGAGAACACATGGACACAGGTAGGGGAGCATCACACACTGGGGTCTGTGGTTGGGGTACTAGGGGAGGGACAGTGTGGGGTAGGGAGTTGGGGAGGGATAACATGGGGAGAAATGCCAGATATAGTCGATGGGGATGGAGGCGGCAAACCACATTGCCATGTATGTACCTATGCAGCAATCCTGAATGTTCTTCCCATGTACCCCAGAACGTAAAATGCAATAAAATATATATATTTTTAAAAAAAGAATTCTGTTGAAAAAAAAAAAGAATTGACATTGGCAGAATGCAATTAACTGTAGACTTTATTTGGATTTCACTAGTTTTTCCACTAATAGTCTTCTGTTCCATCCATTCAGGATACCTATTATTTTAGTTGCTTTATCTTTTAAGTTACATTGTTTCATTGCCTGTTCAGACTTCTGTATTCCAGAGAGCTTGTGCATGGGTATGATTTAAATCTCTCTGAGTCAGAATAGCCTTGTACAGTTTTGTGCATGAAATGTTCACTCAGCTAATCTAGATGAGGATATTCTAGATGTCATCCTTCCAAGGAGACTTCCCTGACTCCCACACTTTTATATATATGCCAGGGGAAAAGGATCTCTTATAGTTTCCTATGCTTACCCTTATTCTAACCTTCTTTATATTATACAGTTGGCCCTTAAACAATATAAGTTTGACCTGCATGGGTCCATTTATACATGCATTTTCTTCTCCTTCTGCCACCCCAGAGACAAGACCAGCTTCTCCTCTTTCTCTTCCTCCTCAGCCTACTCAATGTGAAGACATTGAGTATAAAGACTTTATGGTGATCCATTTCTACTTAATGAATAGTAAATATATTTTTTCTTTCTTATGATTTTCTTGATAACATTTTGTTTTCTCTGGTTCACCTTACATTATAAGAATATAGCATATAATACATACAACATATAAAATTTGTGTTAATTAACTTAGGTTATCAATAAGGCTTCCCATCAACAGTAGGCTATTAGTTAAGTTTTGGGTAAGTCAAAAGTTATATTCAGATTTTTAAGTGTGTGGGATCAGCACCCCTAGCCCCCACATTATTCAGGAGTCAACTCTGTTTCTTAGCTGGTGTCTCAAGTGAAGTTTCTCTTGTCTTTCCCTAAAAATAATCTCTGACACCCAGCCTAGTGATTTACAGAATGGATACTCAATATGCAATTATCAAGTAAATGAATGGATGAATAATGATGATTACATAACTTAGGGAAAACTCTTTTTTTCATATCTTCTCTATAAAGTCTACAGAAAATGAGTAACTACATTCAAGAATTCTCATTGATCTTTTTTCTTTTCTTTTTTTTCTTGTATCCTAAGCCCTAATCTTTCAAAATAGTTAGACTGCACATGCAGCCTTCACATATCTACTCACTGATCTTGAAGCCTTATCTTCCATTTGGTGAGCCACACTTAGAGATAGATATTCAAAACCTGCCCCAGGTGTGAAGTGTTGAAAACATGACAAATGAAGAGTAATTGAAGGAGCTAGAAAGTTGGGCTTGGCAAAGGAAGATTTAGGGTAGAGAATATCATTGTCTTCAAAATTTGAAGTGGATAGGAACCAGGGCAAAAATCAAGCCAGACTGGAGTTCTGTCAGTAGAGAACTCTTAACAATTAAGATCATCAAAGGTAAAATGAGCTGCCTCAGAACTCCCTGAGCTTCCCACTCTCAGAGGTGCTCCCGGAGGGGTAGAACCCATAGACAATTTGATGGAAAATCTGCACAACAGATTTTTAGATGGTGAGAGTCAGGAATTCAAATATCTGGACTTTAAAAAGACATTCTGCTACTTAAAAAACCTTAGGCTTTTAGAATCTTTTCAAGCACTCTAAGCATAGAATCTTTTAATTTTAAAAAAATTTCTCTGAACCTCTGATCCTTGTTTGATGAGGCAGTTGACAAATGACGGGTTCTGTCCTCCTCTTGATCCAGTGCTATGCTGATGAATAAGGTCCTGTGTAGCCAGAAGGTGTGGCTCTGCATTTGGTTAACAGGGCTTAGAAGTATGGAATTGCACAACATAGGTCCTGCATTCTGCTTAAACTCAGCCTAAGGCCTAAGGCCTTTATCGGTATAACCTTTCCTCAAGTATGTGTTTATATTTGTGTGTGTATGTGTGTTTGTGTAATTTTTGCTTATTGCCCTTCGGTGGCAACTGGTTAATTAATAATGTAGGCCTTTATATGAGAACCAAAGACTGTGTTTGAAAAAGGATGGTCTAAGGACTACCTGCATCAAAGTTTCTCAGGAGCTTCTAAAAATGCATATTCCTGGATCTCATCCAGATTTACTAAATCAGATTCCCTGGGGGTTGGGCCCAGAAATCTGCTTCTTACTAAGAAACCTCAGGTACTAATCATGAGCTTCAACATTTGAGGGTCCTGACTGTAGAATGTAGTCGGATGAAAGGAACTCCCCTCCCCGAACACAAACATTATCTTTTTGGGCAAAGCTGCAGACTGTTCTCAGATGTAAAAAGGCAGACTGGTCCATTAGGAATTGGTTCAGCTGAATATTTTTTTCACAGTGCTTTTTCTAGGCTCTCACTATGTTAACAACAATCAACACAGAAGACTTCGTGACCAAATGAGTGTGAATTTTTTCCCACACACCAAGCAATCAATCAATTCTGTCGGGGACACTGGCTGAGTGTCCTCCAATCCAATTCTGACATTACCTGAAGATGGCATCAGACCCCACAGGTTAAGGGCTCGGTCCCAACAATACCCCTCCCCCTATATACACACCAGTTGCAAGTTCAGGCCTCCGGAACTTCTGACCAACTGGCTTCCAGTTGGCATTCCCATGACCCCCTCTTTGGGCTCAATTAATTTGCCAGAGCTGCTCACAGAGCTCCGAGAAACACTTACATTTGCCATTGTATTATAAAGGATACAGATGAAGAGAAGAGAGGCATAGGGTGCAGTAAGGGGGAAAGGAGGGCAAAGCTTCCACACCCTCTCCAAGAGCAACATCCTCCAGGAACCTCCAGCTATCTGGAAGCTCTCTGAATCCTGTGCTCTTGGGCCTTTGATGGAGATTTCATTAGATAGGTGTGATTGACAACCATGTAGAAATGTGATTAGACAAAAAAGAAGTATGATCTAATAGCAGCAGACTGAACAGGGAAATCCAGGAAGGCCTGTCTTCTCGAATTTTTCTTGGCTTCTCTGTGCAGCATTCCTTCCTCCAGGTAGGGGGCAGAACCCCTTGTGAAATAAGTTATGACCTGGACAAGGTAGGTCAGAAAATTTCTTTATGGCCAACTCCAAGACAGAAAAAGAGGAGAAGATTCCTGCCTTGGAGAGAAAGGAGCAGGTGAAAAGAGGGCAGGAAAATGTCAGAGATTCTGTTTTCTGAGACCCGTTTCTGAGGTGTAAAGTGCCCCAATGTTATAACAAGAGCCATAGGAGTTATGAGCCAGAAACCATGAACAAAAACCTATCTGTGTCTGTGTGTGTGTGTGTTTTACTATGTGTATGCCCAGACAACCTTCACCCACATCAAGATATGAAAAATTATCAGTCTTCCATGAGGTACGATCTTTATTGCATTTAAAAATAATATATTTAGGGTGAGTGCAGTGGCTCACGCCTATAATCCCAGCAATTTGGGAGGCCAAGTTGAGAGGATCACTTGAGCCCAGGAGTTCGAAAGCAGCCTGGGAGACATGGCAAGATTCTGTCTCTACAAAAAAAAATTAGGCAAGCATGGTGGCTTGTACCTGTGGTCCCAGCTGCTTAGCAGGCTGAGGTAGGAGGCTCACTTGAGCCCAGGAGGTCAAGGCTATAGGGCCCCACTATAGAGTTCGTGCCACTGCATGTTAGCCTGGGTGACAGAGCAAGACCCTATTGGGTGACAGAGCAAGACCCTATCTCAAAATAATAATAGTAATAATAATAATATATTTAGGCTGGGTTCAGTGGTTTATGCTTGTAATCTCAGTATTTTGGGAAGCCAAGGTAGGAGGAGCTCTTGAACCCAGGAGTTCAAGACCAGCCTGGGTAACATACTGAGATCCTGTCTCTATATGTAAATAAATAAATAAAGATAAATAAAGTAAAAATAGTATATTTAAATAATTAAAATAAGCGAAACATATTTAAGTCTCTAACATGTAAAAATATTTAAATAAAATGTGATCTTACGGTATTAAAAATTTGAAAAATTAAGAGCGGAAATAATTTTCTGTTGTTTCACCAATTTAATAAAACTATTTTAATTTCTAGAAACTTCATTTTTTGTTTTCATATTTTTTCAAGACTAGTCAAGTGGAACAGTGGAATGGTGATGGAACAAAGAAACCCCTAACTGGCCGTGATTAAGTAATTGTAAACACCAACTACACTCAGACCAACCCACGTATTTTTTTAAAAATTATAATCGGAGTATATATAAAACTTCAATTCCTGCTTTTCTTTCACCAAACATTATATTGTATGCATTTTCCATACTGTTTCACAATTCCTTGTATTTGTAATTGTTTAATCCTGCAAAATATTGCATTGAATGAACATATGATCATTTTCTTAAGTATTCCCCTGCTATTAGAAATGAAGTTTTTTCCAGCATTTTTCTCTTTGCTGTGATGAATATTTTTATATAGAGAGAATTTTCAGTTTGGTATGAGTTTTTGAAAATCTCCTTTACCAAAAATAAAGAAAACGCATGTCTTTCTTTAGTACTTTTGCCAAGGTATTACTTTTACTTGACTTTCAACAAATATAGGATGAAATTACCCAAGTCTGCAAGGAAACTTGGAAGTAACTTGTTTCTGCCTAATTTCTATAAAATTTCCAAGAAATAGTCATACGGATTTAATTGGATCACATCCACTAGTTTTAGCATTGATATTGCCATATTGATTATGGATACGTTAAACTGTAACTCCTGGAGCCAACTTCTCAGGCTTTCCCACATGAAACCAATGCCACCACCCTACCCGCATTCTAACAACTTCTATCCACAGATTTTAGTCATTGACTTGCTGTCTTCCTCTTTCTGTTGTCTTCCAGTTTGTCTCTCTCACTCCTCCCCTTCCTTCTCTATCCTGCTCTCTGACCCAAGAGGCTGACCTGTATGAACCACATCAGTGATTGGCTGGTGGGAACCCCCGGCAAAGAGGATGGAGTGAAGTGAGGATATTTACTCTATTAGTTGCCTCCAAGCTGGATCACTCACAGCTGGCCGTGTCCTTCCATCAAAGATCAGAGCTCTCCTCAAGGTATCCCTCTCCACAAACTCTTGAGTTTCTCTTTCTGGATTTGTTAACTGTTTTCTCAACTTGTCCCTTCATGCCTAGAGGTAATAGCAGGTGAGGGATGCTGTGCTATTCCATTTGGTTTTCCTGCACACTTCCCACGTTTGGATATAGTCCCTTTCATTCAAACCACTGGGCCTGTCTTAATTTGAATGTGCCATCGTTTTTCTGTTTCCTGCTGAGAAGTGTTCAACTCATTCTGGATACCCTCAGTAAGTATTAACTCAGGCTGGGCATGGTGACTCACACCTGTAATCCCAACATTTTGGGAAGCCAAGATGGAGGGATCACAAGGTCAAGAGATCGAGACCATCCTGGCCAACATGGTGAAACCCTGTCTCTTCTAAAATTACAAAAATTAGCCAGGTGTGGTGATGAGCACCTGTTGTCCCAGCTACTAGGGAAGCTGAGGCAAGAGAATCACTTGAACCCAGGAGGTGGAGATTGCAGTGAGCCAAGATTGTGCCTGGGCAACAGAGCAAGACTCCATCTCAAAAAAAGAAGTTTTATATATATATATATATATATATATATATATGTGTGTGTGTGTGTGTGTGTGTGTGTGTGTGTGTGTATGTAACTCAGACTGTCACAAAATTGAGGTTGAAACTATGTGCTTTGTTGATATCACTGGTCCAGAAAATAATGACATGGCTCGCTCTGCTCACCTCTTTAGTTTCCATTTCTGCATTGCTCAGTCACTTCAGGGAATTCATTCTGACAAGTCCCTGTCAGAATGGGAAGAAAATTTGACTAATAGAAAATAGAGTTCATCCTCAATGGCTTATGAACCAAAAGAGGTTTTGTGTGTGTTTTTTCTTTTTCTTTTCTTTAAAGTTCAGATTTTTCTTCGTAAAAACTCTCATGTTAAATAAGTGCCCACACCAGAGTTATTTAAGTAATGGCATGAAAAGATGTTATCGGAGCTAGATGTATATTTTTTCTTGGTAGTTGCCTTTCCTTGTTCCATGCCTAGCAGGCTATGATGAAATAATTACTCTAGCAATCAAGACTTTAAAAACAACAAGGAGTAAACCTCTCTGAGTGCTCAAGTTATCCCATGTCTATAAGACAACCTCCTTTAGAAACTGAAGTATTTTTTTAAGCCTTTGGGAGTACCGTCTGGCAGGTTACTATCTGAATGTGCTTAATCTAAGTTGTGTCCATGAAAAGAGTCAAACTCTGTAAAATATTTGAAGAGATTAATTCTGAGCCAAATATGAGTGACCATACCCTGTGACATAGCCCTCAGGAGGTCCTGAGGATATGTGCCCAAGGTGTCAGGGCACAGCTTGATTTTATACATTTTAGGGAGACATGAGACTTGAACTACATTTAGAATATACATTGATCCAATCCCAAAAGGCGAGACAACTTGAAGCAGGGTGGGGGGCTTCCAGGTTATAGGTAGATTTAAAGTTTTTCTAATTGGCATTAGGTTGGAAGAGTTATCAATGGATAGAAATGTCTGCCTTGCGATAAGAGGTTATGAAGACCAAAGTTGTATCATGCAGATGAAGCTTCCAGGTAGAGAATAGATAGTCAGTGTTTTTTTATTTTTTCTTCCCTCAATTCTGCCCCCTCCCTCCAAATGTCTCTTTTCAGATGTAAGGTCTGTATTGATGTTCACACTGGAGATGTATAATGATGCATGTCTGATCCTCACTTTGCGTCATGGCCTGAACCAGTCTTTCAGGTTAAATTTTAAAGTGCCTGGCTAAGGAGGAAGTCATTCAGATGGTTGATGGGCGGGGGCTCAGAATTTTATTTTTGGTTTACATTTGTCATTTTATAGGAATAATGGTTTTTGAGTAGAATTAAGAAGATACTCACAGGATTAAGGTATAAGAGAGTTTCTTTCTCTCTCTTTCTTTCTCTCTCTCTCTCTTTCTCTCTCTCTCTTTCTTCTTTCTTTCTTTCTTTCTTTCTTTCTTTCTTTCTTTCTTTCTTTTCTTTTCTTTTCTTTTCTTTTCTTTTCTTTCTTGAGATGGGGGCCTTGCCATATTGCCAAGGCTAGTCTCGAACTCCTGGGCTCAAGCGATCTGCCTGCCTTGGTCTCCCGAAGTGCTGGGATCACAGGTGTGAGCCACCATGCCCAGCCAGCATAATAGTACTTCTAAAATAGTGATTTTCTTTTACAAGGAATGCTTCAAACTTGATGAAAAGAAAAAGATGGAGAGCTAAGCTATGAGGATGCAAAGGCGTGAGAATAATACAGTGGACTTTGGGGACTCGGAGGGAAAGGGTGGGTTGGGGGTATGAGTACAGTGTACCCAGCTCAGGTGATGGATGCACCAAAATCTCAGATATCATCACTAAAGAATTTATTCATGTAACCAAACACAACCTGTTCCCCAAAAACTTAGAGAAAAAAATTGTATACCATAAATATGTATAATGTTTGTCAGTAAAAAATGTTTAAAGGTTAAAAAAGAAAAGAAAAAACAAGTGATAGTTTCCCAAGGGTTAACTCAATCCACTATATTATTTTTATTTTCATTTATTTTTTGAGATGGAGTTTCACTCTTGTCACCCAGACTGGAGTGCAATGGCACAATCTCGGCTCATTGCAACCTCTGCCTCCCAGGTTCAAGTGATTCTCCTTCCTCAGCCTCCTGACTATCTGAGATTACAGGCATGCACACAACACCTGGCTAATTTTTGTATTTTTAGTAGAAAGGGGGTTTCACCATGTTGGCCAGGCTGGTCTCGAACTCCTGACCTCAGGTAATCTGCCCACCTTGGTCTCCCAAAGTGCTGGGATTACAGGTGTGAGCCGCCGTGCCCAGCCTCAATCCATTACATTATTTTCTTCATGTTTCTCCTTCTGACTTCCACTTGGATCTTACAGAGGAGCGAGTGTGGATCCGTAAGATAGAAAAAAGAGGTGAAAGACAGAATCGAGGCCAAGGAAAGCTTCGGCTTCCTCCCAGTTTTTGGGCAATCTTCTCCTCACTCGTCACATTCCTTAAGCAATCTCATCAGGTTCCTTGTCTCTAGATACTGCACTACTCGTCATAGATGACTCCCCAATTTAAATCTCTAGTACAGACCTTTCTGAGCCCCAGCCCTGCAAATCAAGTTGTTTTCTGACATCTGCAGTGGAGATGTCTCAAAATACCTCCCGTTCATGACATTCCTTCTTACGCCCAGGTGTGCTTCTGTTCCTTCCTGTGTTCTATGCATGAGAAAATGACACCACTGTTTACACAGTGACACCAGCCAGAAGTTTAAGTATTATCCTCAATACTTCCTTCCCCCCATGCCCTCATGCCCTTGTCCCTCCTCATCCACTTTATCACAGACACAACCACATTGCGCTTCTCGAGGGCCAACTCTTCTTCTTTGTTTGTTTGTTTTTGGATAGAGTCTCACTCTGTGTCCCCAGGATGGAGTGCAGTGACACAATCTTGGCTCACCGCAACCTCCGCTTTCTAGGTTCAAGCAATTCTCATGCCTCAGCCTCCCGAGTAACTGGGACTGCAGGTGTGTGCCACCATGCCCAGTTAATTTTTGTATTTTTAACAGAGATGGGGTTGTTGTTTTTTTTTTTATTTGTATTTTTTCTTTCATGACTACTTTTGTGCCATGAGATGGGGTTTCACTATGTTGTCCAGGCTGGTCTTGAACTCCTTACCTCAAGTGATCCGCCCGCCTTGGCCTCCCAAAGTGCTGAGATTACAGGCCTGAGCCACCATTCCCAGCCCAGGGCCAACTCTCTAGCCCTGCTTCTATTAGCTCTTAGCCAGACAACAGCAGTCACCTTCTAAATGGTTTCTCAGCATGCACTCTTCCCAACCTTTCAACCAGTCCTCCATGCTACAGCTAGAGTGACCATTTTGAAATGCAAATGGGTGACTGTTTTGAAATGAAATGCACACTTCTTCAGTGACTTCTTATTTCTTTTACCAAAAAATCTTTTAACCTAGTCTGTGAACCACTGCATGTTTTGGTCCTTTCCTATTTCTTCCAACTAATCTCAATTTCAGTTCTACCTCTTACTAACTGGATAACCTTGCATAAGTTATTTAACTCCTCTATGCCTCAGTTGCTTCATCTGTGAAACAGGGATAACAATAGTATTTCCCAATTAGAATTGTCATGAAGAGCAACATAAAGTGCTTAGAATTTACTTAGTAGGATCAATAAATATTAGCACAATAGATTTTTGCTCAATAGATATTAGTTCTTATTAGGACATCTTAGCTGTCTTCTGTCACTCTGACATTTTCTCTCTAAGATGTTGCTTACTCTGTTTACATTGCTATGAATCAATACACGGGACTGGGTAATTTACAAGGCAAAGAAGTGTATTTGGTTCACAGTTCTGCAGGCTGTGCAAGAAGCTTGGTGCCAGCATCTGCCTCTGGTGAGGGCCACAGCCTCCTTCCACTCATGGCGCAGGTGAAGGGGAGCCAGTGTGGAGACCGCATGGTGAAAGAGAGTAGGGGAGGTGCCTGGCTCTTTTTTAACAACTAGCTTGCTCAGGAAGCCATACAGTAAGAACTCACTCATTACTGTGAGGACTGCACTAGGCTATTCATGAGGGATCCGCTCCTGTGACCCAAACACTTCTCACTCTGTCCACCTCCAACATTGGGGATCAAATTTCAACATGAGATACAGAGGAGTCAAACATCCAAATTAGGCTGGTGGCTCATGCCTGTAATCCCCACACTTTGGGAGGCAGAGGTAGGAGGATCACTTGAGGTCAGGAGTTCGAGACCAGCCTGGCCAACATAGTGAAACCCCATCTCTACTAAAAATACAAAAATTAGCTAGGCATGGTGGCATAGACCTGTAATTCCACCTACTCAGGAGGCTAAGGCACAAGAATCACTTGAACCTGGGAGGCAGAGGTTGCAGTGAGCTGAGATGGAGCACTCCAGCCTGGGGAGACTGAGCAAGACTCTTTCTGAAAAAGAAAAAGCAAACTCTAGCAGGTGTCATACTTTCTTCCACTG